CTATCTACTTATCTCTATATATATACATATCGCTCTGTCTCTCTCTTATATACCTACCTATTTACTGAAATATATTTATCTATCTATATTATCTCCCTCTAAATATGAAAACCTATATATATATACATCTCTCTCTCTATCTCCCTACCTAAGCACATATATATGCGCAGCTTCGCGTCTTCGTGTCTGCGGGCCGGGCTGAAGCTGTGAAGCTGGAAGCTGCTCAGCTTCGCGTCTTCGTGTCTTCGGGCTGGAGCTGTGAAGCTCTGAAGCTGCGCAGCGTCGCGTCTTCGTGTCTCTCTCTCTCTCTCTCTCTCTCTCTCTCTCTCTGGCTCTCCGTTGCTGGCTGGCTGGCTGATTCCGCCGGGCGTCTCCTTGGCTGGCTGGCTGATTCCGCCGAGCATTGTGTTGGCTGGCTGGCTGATTCCGCCGGGCATCTCCTTGGCTGGCTGGCTGATTCCGCCGCCGCGGTTGCCCCGTGGCTGGCTGACTGATTCCGCCGGGCATCTCCTTGGCTGGCTGGCTGATTCCGCCACTGGCTGCTGGCTGGCTGACTGATTCCGCCGCTTTGGTTGCAGGCTGGCTGGCTGGCTGATTCCGCCAAGGACCCGGAGTGCAGGACCCCTATAATCACGACCATCCGAGCGTGAGGACAAAAGAGCCATTGCAGGCCGCTTACAGGATTATCCCGGCGAACCAGTGTGCGGCAAATGCAGGTTCGCGAGCGTTTCTCGTTTTGTTCCAGCCTCGTCCTTCGCCCTGTCATTTCTGCAGGCGCCGTGCTCTCACGCAGCCGCGGTCCGAGAAGCGCCGCGTTTCCTTTCCACAAACGCTTCTCTTTCTCTTGGGGCTCCGCCTGGCGTGGCAGGATTGCGTCCACGTCAAGTGGGGCTACGCCGCGGAGGGCAAGCTGGCGCGCTGGACGCTGCGCTTGCCCTGCCATCGCCTTACTTGGGGCGAGGCCTCTGCCGCGTTTTGCGCTTAGCGCTTCCGTCGTTGCCGTAGCGTGTTGCGCAGGACGGCCGCGCCCGGAACCGGCACTGCTGGCCGAACCGGGGCTGCGCGCGGCCTCCGGCGAGCTCTGCTTAACTTCCGCCCCGCCGGAGTTGGCGCCTTCGCCGGGGTTCTTGTGCTGCAGATGTCGCGTCTCACTTTGCCAGGCCGCCTTGCGTCGACGCCTTCGCCGCAAGCTGCGCGCGTCGTGTGCCGCACGCCAGCTAAGAGGTGTCGCTCTTTCGTTCGGTCCGCGCGTTTTTGCTCAGGTCTCCTTGTCCAACACGCCGCCTCCACGTTGGCCTCAGCTCGCTCGTTCACGCTCGCCTTATGCTTTCTTTTTTCGTTCTCTCAGGCCCTCAGGCCGCCCCCGGCGCAGTTTGCGCGCCATGCCACCGCGAGCAAGCCGCTCCTGTGTGAGGCTCAGTCTCTGTTCGGGAATTCTGTTTCCCGTCAACCTGCTCCCAGCGTTTTCGAGGATGGGGAAACATACGGGTTGCTGCGCAGAAGATCGTGCGAGGATGACAAGCCTTAGGTTTCTTGTTTTGGTGCTTTTGAGTTTGAGAATGTGGGAGCCAGTGGCTGCAGGGCTTGGCCATTATTCTGGGGCTCCACTTTGTGAGGCTTGCTGCGCAGAAGGTCATGCAAGGATGAGAAGTTTCAGGCTTCAGCACAAGCTGAGTACTTGGGATTGCAAGTTTTGATGCTGGTGAAGTTTGAGGTTTTGGATTTGGAGCTTTGGGGTTGGGGGTGTGGGAGCCAGTGGCGGCAGGGCTTCATTAGTAAGTTTGGAACAAGTTTCTTTAATTGTGGGGAGGTTTGTTAATGTAGGTAGGCGACTTGAGTTGAAGTAAGGCCAGGAAGGACGCGGTTAAATGAGGCTGACCTGGTGAGATTCCACTTGTTTTAGATTTGACTTAGTTGAGATTTTTTACGGACGCCCTGCGCACGACTGCTGCGCTTTGGCGCCTCTCCGCGAAACTCCCTAATGGCCCGGGACTTGGAAATATACTGTGCGTTTGGGTTGTTGGCGGTGTGGTCGTTGTTCCACATCGCCGTAAAGTATCTCTTGGTAGTACGATCCTTATAGGCAGAGGCAAAGACAACATTATGGATGGGGTTCTCGATTGGTAGGGAGAAGACCTCGCGAACCTGCTTGTTGATGATTTCTGAGGGGTAGGTTGGGCTTGCCCTTGGTTGGAGACTCTAGAGTAGTACGACGCTGGGATGCCGAACATTCTTCTAAGGAACCGGAAGAAAAACCCGTCGATCTGTGATAGTCGCTTATCCGTCAGAGTAAAGGCGTCCAGACCGTATGAGAGCACTGCAGGAAAAACGGAAAGAAAGGTTCGCATTTTCAATTTACGCGGCAGGGGACTGTTCCATACTTACCTGAGTTTCTTATAGGCTTCTTCTGCTAGTGCGCATCTATGCCTGAATGCTACCTTGAATGGATTGGTCCAGGAGAGCAGGGAACCGAGGTATTTTGCTTGCGGTGTTGTCGGTACCTCCAAACCGTTGCGGAATTTGAGCGTGGCGGGGGCAGGCTTGGAGGGGTCAATCAGCAACTCGGTTTTTGTGGTGTTGAGGGACACGCCATACAGTTCGGATTCCGCATGGCCTGGAGCTGCGGTGTGGTCAATCCTAATAACAGCGTGTCATCTGCATACTCAAGGTCAAAGGTGGGATGTTGCACCGACCAGGTGTTCGTTGGTATAGCTTATGATCTACGTCTTGGAAAATGACTGATAGCACTATGACGAATAGGTAAGGACTTAGCGAGCACCCCTGCCTGATCCCCGACCTGACGGTGCCTTGCGCTATGTCCCCAAATGGGCTCTTGACCTCAAAGGTGGGGCCTGTATATATATATATATATATATATAGAGTCAACTATATCCTGGATATTCTCTGCGACGCCAAGCCGTTGTAGAGCTATCTTGAGGGCGGTATGGTCGACTGAGCCAAAGGCTTGCTTCCAATCCAAAAACAGTAGATGCAGCGGTTTGCCCGTCATGTTGGCGTATTCCATTGTGCGGCGTAAAATGAAAAGTGGGTGTTTTGTTCCTCTTTTCGCGCGGAACCCAACTGCGTTTGGCGTAAGTTGTGGTCCATCTGGTTGGCAAGTCTGCGCTGTAATTACTATGGAGGCGAAGAGTTTGTACATGGTGTTTAAAAGGGCTATTGGACGATAGTTCGCGGGATCCGAATTGTCCCCCTTTCCTTTGTAGATGGAAACTAGCAGGGCGTGTTTCCATTCGTCAGGAATTGCGCCCTCTTCCCAGGTGTGCTGCGTGATTTGCAGCAATTCCTGTTCTGAGTGGTCGTCCAACCAGAGCAACAATTCGTTGGGAAGTTCATCTGGGCCCGGAGCCTTTCTGGTTTTGAGGGAAGCTGGGGCGGACTGCAACTCTTCTAAGGAGATATTGTCCTGCGACGGTATGGTCTGATTGAGGGCTGGTCGTGCGCGTAACTGTGCTATGTGCTCCTGAGTGGCACGGTGATGCCACTGCTTGTGTTGAAGGTGATCCCTGATGGCGTCCTGCGTTTTAGTCCATGGTACTGGTTTACCATCTACCACCAGATGTTGCTTGCGCCCTTGAAAGTCTTTCTTCTGGTTGCGCACGGTTTTCCACACTGCGGAGTGTTCTGCGCTAGGGTTCTCCAGCAGCTGATTGTGCACCCAGTTGACTCGATCTTTGCGGGCTTGCCGCTTTGCTTGGTTGCGTAACTGCTTGGCGTCGTGGTCTCCTGCTGCGGTGGCCGTTTTAGCTTGCTGAAGCTTTGTAAGCGTGTCTTGCGTGCTCCAAGGGGCGCGGGGAGGGTATTCCGTGGGTCTAAATGCCGTTTTGGCTGCTTGTTTGAGCTTGTGACAGAACTGCGAGGCAGTAAGCGAACTATCCTGCGCAACAGGCGGTGTGGTCAGCTGTCTAACCATTAACCTGCGACCTCCCTCTCTAGCTTGCGTCTGTTTACCCTGTTCAGCTAGCCTGTCTGCTTTCTCATTTCCATCATCTTAGTTGAGTTTAGTATTTGCAATGTTTTGGGATCCCCGAGAAATTTCTTTAATTGTGGGAGGATGTATTAATCAAAAGCTGCGATAAATGTGGCCGCTCCAAATGTTTTCCTGTTGCTCCAACTTGTTTCTCCCCCCCCCCCCCCAAATCTTCAACATGTCAGCGATTCCCAGAGCTTCGCCCCAGCATTGAGCACCTGAAGCCGGAGATGGAGGGAATCATTTCCAGAGGTTGCCGAGTGGCCTGGCACACAGACTTCATCTTGTTTGAGACTCAGGCGGAAAATTTGGCATTGGGGGCCACTGGCCACTGTCATGTTGTCATTTATCTTCTCATTGGCCAACTCCAAGTCTGAGCTGACTGTGCGCCAGGTGTCGCAAACTGCTCCCTTCTCCGAGCCCTGCCCGAGCCGAGGTCTCCTTCCAGTTCCACCCGGACTTCCAGCCCTTGAGGGTCACCCTCTTCGGTGCCTTGAAGCTGTACGCGTGCTGACCTCAGAGCCGAGGCTCCGGTTATCTCTCTGCGCTCACGGGGTTTTTGAGGCGGACGGACGGGGACGGGCTGGCCGCCGTTGCTGAGGAAGGCGGGGGAAGCGCGACGGGGCGAGTAGTTGTTGGGGTTGTTTGGCAGGTGCAGATCAAAAAGAGGCGGCCTTTGGGCTCAGTTTTCGGTTTCGTTCTTGCGACTCGAGCATGGGATAGCACGTGACGCCTCAGTGCGCTGAGGTGCCTTTTTCGCTGGACAGCTTGGACTGACTGGGCGTAGTTAATTGAAATTCGCAGCGTTCAAAGCGAGGCATTGAAGGTTCGAGTAGCTGAATTGCACGATGTCACGCTGCTGCGCGCAAGGAACAGGTAGCGTGGCGTTTTTCAATCAACAGTAGGGGCCGTTTTGGGGTTGATGCTTGCATGAAGGACTGCCACAACATATTCCCAGGTCATGCTTCGCTTGGCCAGGCATGTGAATGGACGGAACCTGCCAATCTGCCAGGTAGTGCCTGCAGCACCGGACAAAAGTGACCCGTTGCCGGAGAGGCATGGGAGGGGATCGCAGCATGTTGAACGTGCTCCACTTTGGCTCATGATGAGAGCTCGAAGAGGATGTGAAGTTGGACCTGGCCATGGGGGCTTGTTCAAAGATTGTCAAAGGATGTGCCTCATAGCCCACCAATGGTCTCTTTACACGGTGTTGGTACCTTCGAATGGTGGCATTGCAGGTCTGTATGAGCTCCACCCGCTCCAATCCCACTCTCCACAAAATGCACCAGGCCGGCCAGTTGCTTCAGCATCGCCGACGAGAATACCCCGCTGGGGCGCCCGGGCCGGTTGGGCAGTTGGCGCCGCTTTCCGTTCCGAAGTCGGCCAGCAGGATTGGGCATGGCTCTCAACAGCCATATCCTTGATATCGCGGTCGGGTCTTGCAGCAGGGGGTTTTTGTCTTTGCCGGCTTTGACTCGGCCGTCAAGTGCGCCTTGCCATCTTTGCCAGAGGTTGGCACTTGGCCAGCTGGAGTCCATCGTGGAAGAGGCGCTGCGGCCTGGAGATGAACAATTCACATGGCGAGCAAGGAAGGCTTCAGCGACCAGACCGATCTTTCGCACTAGGAAGGTGTTAAGGAAGGGAGGGTCCAGCCAGCTTCTGCAATGCGAGCATTGTGCCATCCGGACTGGTCTGTTGGGCAGGGGAGCCCTAGCTCCTGTGCAGACCTCCAATCAGAGAACGAGGCCAGAGAGCTTGTGCCAGAGGCTGATGGGAGCTTGGTGGCGAGCAAGATCACACAGGAAACCTGGGCCCAACACAGTCTCCAGTTGAACTATCTTCAACTTGGACATGTTCAAGGTCCACCCTCCCTGTGGACCAGCAAATTTGTTTAAGAATCCACAACCCACGTCTGGTTTGGGAAGGCTGAGGCAGTCAAAACCCAAACCCATCCGCAGGCCCTGCGCGTGGCCCTCTCGGAGTGCTTGCAGCGCCTCGAAGTCCTCGAGGCAACCCCAGTGGCAGGGCTCCGTTTGGGGCAGAAAGAAGTTAGGACGCTTTTCCAAAAAACGGACGGCCATTTCCGTTGATTTGATCGTCTCCACCAGCCGAATCACCGAAAATGACGGGGCCCTGGGCTCCGGATTTACCGGTGGATTCCGAGATTATGGATTTGGATTGGCCAACCCGTTTTTGAACTGTAGAAAGGGGGTAGTTCGCCAGCCACGTCCGGCATGCTGGGTCAACAGCATGTTCTCTCCGTCGTGCTTCCCAGACCCAGAAGGAAGCACCCTGGGGCTCGGAAGCATGCGCTGATGTTGGCTTTGTACGCGTTGTGCCTTTGTTCATTCTGTGCCTCTTCTGACCTCATTTTGTCCCAGTCGGCTACCATCACTGAACAGATGGAGATGAAAGAGTTTTCCACGAGGGAAGGCCTGCTGGCACGTGGGCCTGCAAATCGTTCCCAGTCGCAGCGATGGATGCTATGCCGAGAGTTCTGCTAGGCCGAGCGCGAGGATTTCATCTCCGAGGGCGTGTTTGATTTGGTCAACTCGTTGTGGCTTGGCGAAGCCGGGCAAGCGAAACGCGAAAGGCAGGGATATACAGTCGAAACGGCAGATCGAACGAAATGAACATGAGTTGAATCAAGAGGATGAGAGAGTGAAAAAGAACCAAAGCCCGTTCTGAGCCTGTTGGGGTCCGGTGTGGCAGGCATGAGGGCGGGGTCACCTTTGCATCGGCTTGCAAAGGTGCCGCGGCGGCTTGAAGGGACCAGGCTGGGGCGATGCTGCTATCTACCGAAAGTCGGGCTTCTCCAAAGGGGGCTGGTGCCACGCTTTGCCTCGAACAGGGTCAATGTGATCTCCTTTATAACATCCACACGCACAGATAGCCGACTTCTGTCACAGGCACATGTGACCGACGTCTTGGCTTGACTCCTTTGATGCTTTTTGTTGCCCTGGCCCAGATGCAGCAAAGGGCTTGTACGAGCCATGCCTGAGCCAGTTTCAGCCAATTCCAGGTATGCTTCCGTAGGCCAACATGGAAGCTATGATCAGGAGAAGGCCCATGGATCTTATCAGCTTCCTTGTTTGCCCACGGGCATACATGATGTAGGGCAAATGGTGTAAATGCAACCGGGGAGGCAAATCCGGTGGGATCTGGAGCCTTGCTTCCCCCTCTTCAAGCTTGATCCGCGCAAGCTGCCAAAACACCCGAAGACGGCTTTGTCGCATGGCGCTCTTGTCATAATGCGTTACCTTACTGATGAACCTGAACCCTCAACTTGCCGGAAATCGCCGAGGGCGCCAGGCTGGGTTCCCGAAAGGCTTTGCAGTAAACATGGGTGGCCATTTTGAAATTCATATGACCAACTGATCTGAGCAGTTCCCTGTGCGAGACATGTGCAACTTCTCAGGAACCCACTCGGAGCCACTCGTGTTTTGGCGGCTGCTTCAGTGCCGGTTAGGTCGGGCCTCCGGTGCCCCCACGCCACAAAGTTGCGTGGCCGGCGATTGCGCGTGTGCTCGCAAACTGCGAGCACGTGCCAGACATCTTCGCGGCAAAATGTGGGCACCCTCCAGACATGGACGTGCACGCTTGTTCTCCAAAAGGAAAGCGGTTTTCAACGGGGGTTGTGCAGGCCACACGTCAACGTGGGATCCCTTAAAGCAAAATCAGTTGGCTTCGTGAGGGGTCCCTTTGACACCGCCCCTGCAGAGATCCTACGTGGTTCTTCGCCCAGTTTTGCTTTTGTGCAGAGCGCCCCTCAAAAATCGTTCGGCAATGGTGACTTGTTGGTGGGCAGCAAGGAATCTTGGAGGCTGAGATGTGGCAGCGGACGACCATGTAGTCCCAACAGTGGATCGTAGCGCTCGAGCCAAATGAGCCAAAATTAGAAGAACCAAGGTAGATAAAGGATGGGAAGGAACAGCAATTAGGGGCGGTCGGCCTTTTGATTCTTGGCATGGAGTTGGGTGGGCCCTTTCAGTACCAGGTTTTCAGCATAGACTCACATGGGCAAAGGAGTTTTAAACAGTTTCAGTTCTTTTGCGGTCTGTCCGCACGATTGCACATGTCACGAACAAGCGGGTTGCCATGTGCCCGTTCACCTCGCCTGAGTCAGAGTCGGAGTCAGGTGGTGCTGGCCTCGGATTCGGGCCTAGGATCTGGACTTGGCAGGGCTGTGGGCTCCCTTGAACTCTCTCTCTTAAGCCATTTTCGGATTTCTGGAACCAATGTGACCATTTTCTTTACCCTGGGCAGGTTTCGGGATCCTGGCTCGGGGGGGTGGGTCGTTTCCTTCCGTCACGATCTGTAGGTTGTTTGATCAAAGGTCAGGTTGATCAAGGTGAACCACCCCCAGAGTCTATCAGCAACGAGGCTTGAAGACTCGGTTTGGTGTAACCGTTGCATGTTCCCCTACCCCCCAAAGACAGAGAGGGAGTCTCTAGGGTGCGGCCTTGCATCTCCTTTTTGCCGGGGAGTTGTCCGGAACGCGCGCCCCGAAACATTGCCCGGTTTGTAGAACGCTTGGCTTGCCGAAGTAAAGTACCCATGACGAAGACAAGCCTAGGACGTGTGAGATGAGACTCGCCAGAGATGCGTAATGCACCAGCCGCAGGCGACGAGGCTGAGGGCGGGGAGTCGGAAGTGGACAGCCAAGTCAGTCTGCACCTCAGAGTCTGTCCCGAGCGTCCGCAGCCAGAGACGTGCCAGGCGATCCGAGCGTGGATGCAGACGCCGCATGGCTGAAATTACTCGGTTTCGCAGCGAGACGCTGGGCAGAGCATGCAGGTTTAGACCTTGACGATGCACTTGTCGAGCTTGTGTTTGTTGCGAGACAAGGGGGATGTTGAAGCTATCTTGAGCCCTTGGAGTGATGCAAGCTTTGCTTGTTCTAAGTCGCTGCCACCCGTGAACATTCACGAGCGCCCGGGGGCCTGGCATTCTCTGAATCCCATGAATCCAGTGATGAACATGACAGGTCATCGAGCTGAGGTTTGCTTCAACAGGTTGCAGAAGATGAATGCCCCATGCGGGCTCCAGTATTTGGTTTCCACCAAAGCAACATATACACAAGAGATCGCATTTTAGGAGTTCATGACCCTGGGGCTGGGCTTGACTCTATTTCGGAGTAACCAAGCGGAACCTTTCGCCGGAGCCTTGACCAGGCCCCACAAGGCAAACCCGTGGGCGCCGCTGGACCGTACTGGATGGCAAGGACAAGGTGGATGATGAGGCTCGAGCAGTCCGGAAGGGGGCCAGATTTGTCCAAAATGAAGAAGTATGCTTGGGTTGCTTCAACAAAGTGGGAACCCACCAGTGTCAAGGAGGATTTTCTAGACATTCCCAGTTGACCCAGTCAAGACACACGTTAGACCCGGGGCGGTTTTGTCCAAGTCTACGAAGGGGCCACATGGCCCGACGGGGTCCCGTGCACCGCACACGCGGCGAGGGGCCTTTCGCAGGCCTGACTGCACCGCGTGGCAGGACTTCTGGGGTCGCGCTGACTTCGAAGACGCCTCCTCCGACAGCGAGTTCCGCGCGGAGGCAGTTGGCATTTGACTTGCGCATTTGGGGAAATGGCAATTTTTGTACATTCTGCTACGTGGTTGCAGGGAGTTTACAGCAAGGCCTATATAGTAGAACTAAATGTCAATGGGTTGGGCGCTGCTCTTCCGTTACGTTGTTGATTCCAGCAAGGAAATCGACATTTTAAAACATGTCGGGTTCCACTGGTTGTATCGCGTTTTGTTGCTGGTTGGCCCGTTTTGATACCTCTTTTGATACCTCCTCCCTTAGCCATTTGGACGTCCGCCCTGGCGAGGATTCAGATGAGGAGACGGAGGATTCTGACCTCAGCCGTGCCAAGGACAGCGAAAGTGAGGAGGAGGCGGAAATGCCTGCCGAGGAGGCTGGGTAGGAAGGGAAAGCCAAAGCAAACTGGGCGTCAAGCTGAGTATTGCGTGAGTGGCAGGGAAACAAGAGAGCGGCCAGAGCCTCAAAGATGGTTCCTTCAGTGGCGTGTTTCGCCGCCGGAATGGCCTTTACCTCCGCTAGGCGAAGATGAAAGCTCCCTTTCCCGTGGTCAGGCCGGATGAAGTTTGCACTGCAAACTTCGTGGAGCACAAGGTGTTGCTTGTTGCTCATGATGGGTGCTGATAAACATGCCTGGGTGGATGAGGCGGCCACCCAAACCTGTCTCTTAAAGTTTTGCTGTCGGGCCGGCTGTCGGGGGTCTGTCGGGGATATGCCGAGGGTCGATTTGCCCCTATGCCAGTGGGACTCCTCAGATTCAGGAACAAATCGCAGTCTGACACTAGTTTTCACCGAGCCACACTTGCGTCTTCGAATACATGAGGTGGCTCCGATCAATCATTTGTTTAGCAGAGTGATAATTGCTCCCCAAGTCGGCGACCCTCACACGAGAGATCGTCAGAATCTGGGGGAATACATTGTGATGTCGCTGGAAAGGATGAGATAAAGGAGGCGACCACGAGAATCGGGGAAAGCAATTCAGAAGCCGTAGCCCTGGTGTGAAAGCTCTAACAGGAACACTGCCAACATTTGCCAAACAAGCTAAAGCCGTCTAGCTGATAAGCTTACTAGACACCTCGCCAAGACAACCAGACAGTTCAGCTGAGTCGGCCTGCATGTCCAGGCCGCGCGTGCCAGCCCCAGCGCCCAAGGCGCCCCGGGCACCCCGGGCGCCCCGGGTGGTTCGGGTGATGCCCCCGTCGGACAGGACTGGCACAGGGAATGGGGAAGTGGCCAAAATGGGAGGACCCCTCAAATGGTTCACCCCTCATTTTGATTCTGGAGGTCAGGAGGTACTTCGTGCACTATGCTTGTATTTGAACGTTGCGAGATTGGAGCTGCTAAGAAACACTGTAAATCGACATGTTTGAGAAACTACTCCAAAGTTGGCGAGGGGATGGGGCACTGGCGGAAAAATCGATTGAAACTTTCCAGGGTTTGGGCGCTTTTCCGCTTGTCTCGGCCACATCCGGTCCAGGACCCTTCGGCAGTCCACCCTGGAGCAGCGCCGGGAGCGGCCTGACGACAAGGCCGCGAAGTCGGGCGTGCAGCAGGCCTGGGCTGTCCGTCGTTTTGGGGAAGACATGAGTGTGAGAACCCAGCCGTAAAGGGCAAGCTTGTTTGGCTCCTCATGCACCTCCGATAGGTTTCGAAAAGGTTGCATTGGTTGAGTCAACATCAAGACCTGCAAAGCTGGTTCCTCGTTATGAATAAAGGCTGAACAACTTGCAATTCCTGACATGTGGCAATTCAGCGTGTCATTCAAGCAGCACTTGCTTCAGCGTGCCCTGATTGGATTTCATTTTGCAGAACGGGGCCCGAGTTCGCGGCCCGCTCAACCATTGAATCAAAAGACGCTGGCTTGGCAACGGGTGAAGTGTGAGGGCGCCTCATTGGTGCTGTTCGGATTCCAGTTTGTTGACATGTGTTGGCCCCGGAAGTGAATAGGCCCCTTCCCCTTGAGAGATTTTGTTCTCAATGAATTCCCCTGCCAGTTGGAGTGCCAAGCTTTGCATGGCCCGAGATGCTTGGCAGGTGCGGCGGCGCGAGAGTAAGCAGCAGCCGGCTCAGCCCAATGTCCATAAGCTCTCCCTCCCGCCCCAGATTGGCTATGGCTTTTTGTAGGGACCCCCTCAACAGTGGTTGATGGACATAAGTCCCCAAAGATGTCCACCAGAGGGCCAGAGAGCAATTCAAAATTCGTTTGGACCATTCCGGGCGGTGGCTGGAGGCTCACCCAGGAGGAGCGTCTCCAGGAAGCTGTTCGTACAGAGGCCGCGTACTATTGCCCAATATTGGAAATGTTGGATGAGGGAACCATCATGGCAGTGGCAGGCTGTCAGAAATGGTTTCCATGCAAACCATGTGTTCTTGGGCTGCCGGACAATTCTGCAGGAAAAGAACCGGGCAGAGTTCACTGTGCTGCAAAGTGCTGGCCTCAGCCCGGTCGAGTAGGCCGTTGTGTTCAACAAGCATAGGGCGCAAGAGGGCTCAAGGGGTTCTATCCTTGTCTGTGGTTGCTGGACAGAGCGCCGTTCCAGCTTCCATCTGTGTTTCGGGTGTTTGGAACGCTCCCCAGTTTCGAGTGGGAGTAATTCCAGTACGTGGGGCAATGCCGTGCCATGCCTCAATCAGGTCAAGAGGACGAGCGCAGGCGTGCCCGGGCCCGCAAAGGAATCCGAAGGCGGGAGACAAGGCCCCATGCCGCAAGGCCACCGCAACCAACCAGCCAACCTGCCAGGCCCGTCTGTGATGGACCTCGAGTTCGCTTTGTCTCCAGGCAGGGCATGCAGCGAGTGCACGTGAGAGTCAGGGGAGCCTGGGGCGAAGTTGGGTCGGCTCTTGGTGCTTTGAGGCTGTCAAAGCCAGGTGAGCCTTCGGAGGCCAGATTGCCGATGCCGAATTTCTTTGGATTTGGCCTGAATGAGGTGTTGATCGGCGGCCGCCCGGGTGTGGAAAACTTTGCCGCCAGCTCAGCTTCTGCCCAGGTGTTGGTTTCACGAGGTGTCACGGCACAGGTGTCACAGCACAGGTTCAGCTGATCGATTGCGATTTCCATGATGTGGTGACCAACGCCCCGCACTTGCCCGCCCCCCATTTTGCTCCACTCAGTGCCAAAAAACAAGCGTGGCGATGCGTGATGTATTCGCCCAGGTCAGCTCTCAAAGTCGAGAGCGCATCGCCCAAGGCGGGTGCGATTGCGCGCTCGTCCTGATCAAAGTTCGCCGTCAGGAGGCCAAGAAGTCGGCTAAGCGGCCCAGGGTCGAGAGTGCCGGCGCACGAGAAAAGACCGCAAGGTGTGCACTGTGTGAAGCATGTTATCGCATTCTGCTGCATGGTTTTGGTATGAGTTCAACATGATTCAATTAAATGTTTGGACGGTCGAGTTTCCACCTCGGGGGCAAGTCTACCGAGTTTTTGAATGTTTCAGAGTCTTTGCCGAGGGCGAGATCTGCAAACATGGATTTGCAAAAATGCAAGATTTCATTTTATTGCCAATTGCCTTAATTTCGGGTAAATAGGTCTTTTGCTGAGAATCAATGATCAATATCCTTTTTCAGTGAAAAACAACTGAACTCATAAAGAGAACCTCAATTTATCCCCCCTCAACGCAAGTGCTTCATACAGCTGCTGTTTTCAATCGCTAGCTTGAAGGAGGGCCAGCATTCTGCATCGAAACCCCACAAAACAATGATGCAATGGATGGGCGTCACGTTTCCAGGACACAACCATCAGTCAGGCCCGAAACAGTGCATATCTTCGGGGGGGGGGGCAGGGCGCGCATAAATGCTTAGCAGCACATGATTCACACCAAACGCAAGACGTTCCGATGGACGGATACTGCTGCTGATGTTGGCCAACCAACATGACCTTGTGGCAGGGGCCTCACTCCGCTTGAAACTGTTTTCAACCGTGCGTGTCGAGGCCATTCCAACAAGTGGAGTGCCATGCACTCCCGTACACCAGACTGTTTGTGGCATCGCGATGTTCAGCAGCACGTCCGGCATGTGTTTGCATTTGCTGTTTGTGGATTTGCATTTCCGACGGTTGATTGCAGGCATATTGCGTGTGGGCCGTCAGCGCCGTACTGCTCGTGGTGATACCTGTATTTGCGACGTTCGCGACTGACAACGTTTGGGTCAAGGACAGCGCAATGGTTTCCCATCATATCATGTTTTTGTGTGCGGTAGGAGAGCTTCTACAGGGTCCAACCTGTCGTCACATTTACCAATGAGATCTTCCTGATTGCCTCCGGCAGCACGCCAAAGAATGCGGTGGGCTGGAGTGTGGCACTCGGTCGATTGCAACCTTTTTCCTCCAACCTGAACTCAAGCCTGAGGCACTCAGCAAAGTTTGCTGTCGCTGTTGCCTCCAGAGGCTTGCATTCACATTCGAATCAACATACCGTTTGCACTCGGATTTGAACATTTTGTTTTACCTGCGAACAATGTACTCCTTACTCGCCCAGAGCCAATCAACAGACAAACGATTGCTGCCTGGGGAGGTGAAAGTGCCAATGCTGCGTTCAACCACGGAAGACAACAATCGAGATGGCATTGCGGACGTGCTGAAGCTGACGCTGGACCGCGAAAACCCTGGTTTTGATACTGCGTGTACTTGATGTGTTGCTTGGATGGTTTGATGTGATGTGGCATTCATTCGCAGCCATCGTTTCATGCTGCAAAGAAAAATCATGACAAACACGTTGCAAACAAACCGGATCAACCACATTTGCAGACAAACGTCAACTTGCATTGCTCCGCCAATACCGTATGCGGTTTTGCAGGATGTGCCATCTGAAACCGGGGAGAGCTATCGCAGCTTGCTGCTGCTGGCCGTTTACAATGTAGAGTTGCAGGGCAAGGCGGGGTTTGGCGCGATTGTTTTCGGGCAAACCTGCGAAGTGTATGACAAAGTTAGGTTGTTTTGTTTTGCCAGGCGTGTAGTTGGATGGAACCATTCGATGGGGACAGCTCATTTCAATGTGTTTTGGCAGAGACCCATTCTTCAGTGACTGCAATGCATCGACAAGGGCCCGATTTGGTTAGGCATTCTTGGTATGGCAGGTCAGTGAACAGCTCAGCGGCCTTGTGGCTGTGGACATCAACAGCCGCACCCTCGACTTTGTTCGTGAGTTTGTGCATTTGCGTGGCGCTAAGGTGGCAAAACAAACAACTGTCAATCATTGCCCTTCGCTGTTCTTGGCATGTTTTTTGGTTTTTTAGTTTGTTGGTTCTGTTCATTTTTACTGGGGGTCTGCAAAGTTTTTTGCTACCATACCAAGATCAGAGATGAATCCTTTCCCTTGATGTGATGTCCTCACACTTCAGCACATCCTGAATTTCGGCATGACGAATTGCCCCTCGTGTTGAAAATGTTTCATGACCATGTTTGCCGGGAGGCTCCAGCAAGCTTATTGACCTGACGTGATAGAAATAGTCTGGTTGTTCACAGGTGTGCTGAGTTTCTTTGCGTCCAGGTCCGTACCCGGCTGCTGGCGTGTCAGTTCATGGCCAGCTGCGATTGAGGCCTGCCCATGGTGATTTCGATATTTAGAATTGGTTGGGTGTCATGACTTGTGACTCACGACTCATGTTTGGCCTTTCTCTCGCACGAGTGAACACAATGTGTTCGGCCACCAGCAATCCTTGGCTTCAAAAATGTCGTTTCTGAGGGGATAGATTTGCCACTGTTTCACGGTGTTTTTTGATCCATGCACAAATTCCATGACGATTGATTCCTTGCAACGCCTCAGACAAAGTCTTCCGCTCTTCCAAAGCTATGAAGTGCGGAACGTGTACGCCGCCAGCCCGCTGGTCGTGGATTGGAGGCCGGCCGATGTTGCCAAGCAGTCAAATGCCTGCGGCGGCGGCAACTCTCTGCACCAAGGTCCAATTGGCTTCCAGAAAATCAGCCGTTGACGTTGCAAGCGCTTTTGGCTCGCTACGCGCAAAGGCCAGGGTCGGTCGGGGTCGGTGGTCGCTGGGGCCAGCATGTGTGAGTACCTGACATAACTGCACGCGGAACAAGCCATTTGATGGTGTCGAGGTGTTGGAGTTGGTCTTTTTTAACGAAGCGGCACCGTGTAGCGTTTGGCTCCAGCGATGGAACTGAAACTTGGGCTTTCGCCGCCCTGTGGCGGCGATGGCTTCCACTGGGATCCTGCAGCGAAAGAGGCGCAGAGGGGAGCGCTGAGGGAAGCGCTGAGGGAAGCGGAAGAGGACCTGGAGGCGGAGCGCTTTGAGGCCGATTGGAGTTTTGGATACGCGGTCTTTGCAGATTCCAAGATGACTTTCACGAAATCCTTTTTGGGATGGTGTTGGGAACAACAACAACGCAACGTGTATGAAACTTTCTTGGGGGACATATTTGGCTTGGACTTCGGGAGCAAGGCGAGTCAAAGCCTTCGCTGGCAGGCATGCGCAGACAAGGCCATGGAGGCGCTCTCCATGGACGGCGCTGCGGACGGCAGCGCGCTGCGGCTACTGCTGCACTGCTACCGCTGCCAGGCAAGGGAAGCCAGGGGTGTTTCGAAAAATCCTAGAATGGTTCTTTTTTTTCATCCAAAAAAGGACCCATATTGAATATTATTTGTTTATGTTGATTCAACATGTTTTCTTTGGATTCAACTGAGCCAGGCGATGTACAAATGGGCCGGCAACGTGGCGGAGGATGCAGAGAAGACGTTGTGTGAGGAACCTGGCGCCAGCAAGCTGCTGCTGAGCCGCGCCGAGTTGCAGCTGGCGCAGGGCGGGGGTTCCGCGGCGGAACCGGCGGAAGCGCAGCGTCGGTTCCGAAAGTTGGACCTGCCGGGCTACGAGGGCCTGGCGCTGCTGGTGCGGGCGCGCCAGGAGTTGGCGCAAGGCAGGGGTTGGAACCAACAGACTTTGCACTGTACCCGTTTTTACGGGGTGGTGCATCGGTCGTGCACGCGAGAATCTGGCTCGGTTGTGCACGCGAGGCCCGGCTCAGTTGTGCACGCAGACTTGTTTACCTTGGGAATAGCCACGTGAAATGCAGCTATCTAGACAGACGTCATGGAGTCTCGGACAAAGTGTAGCTTGCGGCCCCTTCGTTTTGGGTTTCTTTCAGAGCGCGCCCCATCCCCCAGCAGAGCGCAGTTCAACACTGCGATGGCGGGGGATGGGGTGACGTTGTGGCAACAGGAGGAAAGGATCAAAGTGTAGCTTGCGGCCCCTTTGTTTTGGGTTTCTTTCAGATCAGCCATGCCCAAAACCAAGGCTGGGAAATTCGGCGCCCCTGGAAAGCGCTTACCCAAATTAAGGGCCAGACTAAAGCTTTGTCAAACTTTCCGGTCGGCGCCTTGTGTGAGCCTGAGGCAAATGATCTTACACTAGGGAGATAAAGCAAGTTGACAGATCTTTTTATCCGCAAGCTAGGATGGTATAACACTATTTCACCCAGTGTTTTGTGTGTATGACCCTCATGTAAGCCATTGCTACAAGCCCATTCTTGCCCTTCTGATGCCGCCACTTCCATCCACCTACCCCATCTCTTGCGCGCGTTCCTTTCTGGACCCCACGCACCCCACCCACCCACCCACCCCCACCCACCCCCACCCACCCCACCCCACCCCACCCCACCCCACCCCACCCCCACCCCACCCCCACCCCACCCCACCCCACCCCACCCCACCCCACCCCACCCCACCCCACCCCACCCCACCCCACCCCACCCCACCCCACCCCACCCCACCCCACCCCACCCCACCCCACCCCACCCCACCCCACCCCACCCCACCCCACCCCACCCCACCCCACCCCACCCCACCCCACCCCACCCCACCCCACCCCACCCCACCCCACCCCACCCCACCCCACCCCACCCCACCCCACCCCACCCCACCCCACCCCACCCACCACCCCACCCCAACCCCACCCCACCCCACCCCACCCCACCCCACCCCACCCCACCCCACCCCACCCCACCCCACCCACCCCCTTCTGATGCCACCACTTCCATCCACCTACCCCATCTCTTGTGTGCGCTCCTTTCTGGACGTGATTGTGACCCCCACCCACTCCACCCACCCCACCCACCCCACCCCTTCTGATGCCGCCACTTCCATCCACCAACCCCATCTCTTGTGTGCATTCCTTTCTGGACCCCACCCACCCCACCCACCCCACCCACCCCACCCACCCACCCACCCACCCACCCACCCACCCACCCACCCACCCCACCCACCCACCCACCCACCACCCACCACCACCCACACCCACCCACCACCCACCCACCACCCACCCACCCCAACCACCCCACCCACCCACCCACCGTCTTGGCTTGAGTCTTGCTTAAAGGGGGCAAGCATCGGGTCTTCGAATTGGATCCTGCTAGATCGGCGCAGGTCAGACGCACATCAGACACAGGTGGGCAGGATGACACTCTGCAGCATGAAGACATGATGAACACTTCGGCTGCAGCAGTATCCATGCTATCCATGCTGGGTCCTAGGCAAACACAATGCAAGTAACATTTCAGATCAACTTACGGCGTGCAGCATATATCACTTGCTCTCCCCTGACCATTTGACTTGTTGTGTTTTTGTGCCGAGGCGCCATCGTGACCATAGTGCAAGCTACTGCAAGCTAAGCACTGGCCTGATGTGTGGCACCCGCCATGCCTAGCTGACCCATGTGTGACGGCCGCGCCCAGGCCAGGCTTGAGAATCGTGGGAGGTGTTTGAAGGTTGGGCCGAATTTGTAAACCTTGTGCAAGAGGAAGCTAAGAGGGAACTGATCATGTGCAACTCCCGATGATTTTCCACCTGGCGACTTGTCAAAAGCAGGGCTCTGCCCGGGACATTAGGTAGCCATGGTAGCCGACGAACTCGAATAGGAGGCATTTTTGTCCGCGAGCGGTGACACCCCCAAAAGACTTCCCGATTTTTTTCAAGGAGGAGGATCACCCACCCACCCACCCACCCACCCACCCACCCACCCACCCACCCACCCACCCACCCACCCACCCACCCACCCACCCACCCACCCACCCACCCACCCACCCACACCCACCCACCCACCCACCCACCCACCCACCCACCCACCCACCCACCCACCCACCCACCCACCCACCCACCCACCCACCCACCCACCCACCCACCCACCCACACCCACACCCACCCACCCACACCCCTTCTGGTGCCACCCCTTCTGATGCCACCCCTTCTGATGCCACCAATTCCATGCATCTAGAGCTCTGTGTGCGCAACTGAGCCAAATCTGTGCGCGTAACTGAGCCAGAACTCAGGGGGGTTTTGTGTGCGCAACTGATCCAAATCTGTGTGCGCAACTGATCCCCCGCCCGTTTTTACGTTTTGTTGTTGAGCACAACAGACCAACACAGGGATTGCCAGTTCTTGTCCAGGGGTACTGGGAGCACCTGCAGCTGTAGAGTGGGCGTCCGACGCTGTGGAAGCCTTCCAAGTGGATGGCCACAGCCACGGCCTGGGCCGGGCGCTTTTGCTGCTGGCGGAAGCGCAGTGGGCGCTGCAGGATCCCAAAGCGGACCACACCGTGGCCAAAGCGCTGGAGGCAAGGGCGCGGCAAAGCCGTTCAAATACTTGAGCCGCGGGTCTCTTGAAGGGACACTGGAGGGCTGTTTAAGCAGTTTGAGCATGATGGTGGCTGGCCCTGTGGAGGTCTTCAAGTGGTGCGGCGACGAGAGATGGCAGGCCCAAAGCCAAGTCTACAGTGAGAGATTTTAGAAACATGGCAACCACCCAGGCGCATACGCTGCAGCAAATGGCTGTGTGGTCATGGAAGGCAGGCAGCCTGCAATTGCAAGCGCAACGTGTCACCAGTCGCGAGGATCGTCTCGCCCGCAAGTTGCTTGTGGCAATCTGCATTTTTCCGCTGAGATGTCACTTTCTGTGTCACCTTGTTGTTTTTGGTGGTTGCGGACAGGGATGCTTTGGAACATGTTCGGAACCAGGCATCAAAAAACCCTCCCCTGGGCAGGACTTGCCGCACCTTGCTGTGCAGCATGCGGAGGCCATACGACATGTTTCGCATTTGTGTTGCGATGGGTCAAAGGTCTCAGCTGTACCAAATAATTCCAGCAGTACAGTTTGACGATAATTAGAGGTTCAAGGCAGGGACAACTTGGTTTCCTCCGTACATGGATGCTGGACAGGCTGCCTTGTTCCTCTGGAAGAAACACAGCTGCTCACTGCTCCGCGAGGTGGGGACTTGGTTGGCTGAGTAACAATTAACAAACCATGCGGCTAGATGGAGAAGGCATAGGAGAGAAGGGCTCCGGTGCGAACCCACTCGAGGTTGCAGTTTTTTGGTTCTGGCTTGGCAGAGGCGTGTTTGAGAAACATGTCATACATCAACATCATGTTTCGTTCGCCTGCAACGAATCGTTCTCTATTTTGCGGCCCTTTGTAAAGGGGAATTTCAAACCATTTGACACAAAAGCAAATCCCGGACGTTGGCGCGGAATTCAATCTATTCGAAACAAGTCCCGGAAGTTAGCGAATTCAGGTTTGGAAAAAGGTCATCAATTTCTATCTCTGGAGGGCGATAAAGACTCAACCACCGCCCCAACCACCGCCCCATCGAGTTAGAACCTTTCAGCTTGAGGGAACCGATCAAGAGATTCAGCAGGTTTATTTGCTATTTGTTTGGAAAGCGCCCTGTGTCCCCCGCTTGGGTTATTCAAGAGAATGGGTTTCGACCGCCTTTTTGAAATGGATTTGGCAGGCCCAACTCGCGGAGGTGCTGTGCGCCGCGTATTTACGGCTGCAGGAGCCTGAGGCCCGCAAAGACTCGCGTCCAAGTTGCCGGGCCAGGCACCTCTTGTTTGGTCCAAGTTTCGAGGGCCACTGACACAAGCCAACCCTTTTGCAGTCCTTCAACTGGTTTTGACACGACAATGGGTTGTTTGCTGCCCAGCTTTGGTCAGGGTCGGTGCTGCTGCGAGCATTTGCATGTTTTGGGATAGTTATGTATTGTGGAATCAATCCTTTGGATTCCAATCAAAGTTGCCTTGTCCATGTAATGAATTTGATGCAGGTGGCGCTGCGATCCGTTCGCAGCTGCCTGAACCGTGCGCGCGAAGCAGGCGACAGGCGCCCCAGCGCATGCCACGCTGCGGAGTAGACGCTTGACCTGGTCAGGAACATAGAAGGACACATGATGTATGCGGCGATAAGCGCCAACCAGGCGGGTCTCACCAGCCGGTCACCAAAAGATTGCAAAGGCTTAAACAAATCACGAGTGATATCAGCGCAGGCGTTGCAGGGTTTGGAAGCTGCTTGCCAAGCGGCCGACACCGCAGCGATGATCTTCCAGGACGTGGGGAACAGGCCCGATGTGTTGAGATGTTTTCGCGCCAACAGCTGTTTGGAACAGAGCTCTCAGACGACATAAGCGCATGCAACGCTGTCATGCCGCACATATACATGAGTTGTATCTTCTTTGTTCGCTTTTCATGCGTTTGTGGTGGGGTTTGCCACGGCTTCATGTCCAGGCGTATTCGTTGGGTTTTGTTTTTTTGCACGGGTGCTTCTTCTGTGTCATCCAGCACTACTGTGCAGCCTTTCGCGCGCTTTCCACGCTGACGCCAGAAATATGGAGCTGGCGGTGCTGCTCGCGAAGTGCGAGGCGCAGCTAGGCCGGGTGCCAGGGCGCATGCCCGAAAAGTCGACCAAGGGCTGACAGGGTTTGGGATTACGAGCACTAAACCTGTCTATTGAAGTTGTTGGTAGAAATGATACCCGAGCTCTCCGCCAGCCAGGGAGCTCCGCGAAGGACGCGCTGGACACAGCCAAGCAGGTGCTGGGAGGGTGGGGAGTGTGGCAGGGATTGGCCGAGTGCTTGTTGGCGACAAATTTCAATCGGATCTGGAGGCTGTGGCGTTGGTGCAGGAGGCAGGCATGGAGAAGGCCCGGAAAAATGGCGAGCACAAATGGGCTCGCGCCAGATCCAGGGTTCCTCTTTTGGGCGCAGGAAGAAGCTGCTGGCCTGGCTTGGGCGCAGCTGGCTGCCGTGCAGACTGCCCAGGAGGAGTTCAACGCTGCTCGCAAGGCTCTGGGGTCAACATCGGGTGTTGACTTCTTTAAAGGTTCAATTGCCCCCACATCAAGGCACCGACGTTCAGCAAGTTGCTTGCTTTCTCTCACACTCCGGCACTAAGTTGACATTCTGATGAATTGGGGAGATCCTTTTCAAAGACCGCGAGACACTTTCAAACATGGAGCCATGCGCGTTTGGGCCCTCGGCCCTGCGCAGGGCATGCAAGCAGCCATCGAGGCCTTCCAAAGTGCCGGCCAAAGAAGCCGCGTGGCCCGGGCCAAGATGCAGCAGGCGGAGATCTTCGTGAGGATGAAGGCCTGACCGGCAGAATGTTTTTTCTTCTTAGAGCCATTGGAAGGGTTCTCCTGGAAACCGGCTTCTTGCTTGCGCAGAGAAACAGCGCGCAGCGCGACCTTGCTTGTTGCGCAGAGCAAGAGCGCTCAAATAAAGACTACTTCTGCTCAGCGCGCAGACAGACAGCGCGCAGAGGAACATGTCAGAGAATGCGCAGACATTGCGCAGGTGCTGTGCAGAAAGCTTTGCCACTTCCTGCCATCGGAAAGGCGTTTTTCTGTCAGCACTTTTCTGTCCTGGTCTGCCTGCAATTCGGCGCCCGCGCGTGCCAAGCTCATGGCTTTTCAAAGGCTCTTCAAAGCCACACAAGAAAAATAACCACATTGCGCGCGTGAGGCCTGCGAGACCGAGCGGGTTCCAGAGCGCATTTGTTGTGCATGCAGCTTCACCTAAATACGTATGAGGGCGTGGTTTGTTCTGTTTCGAGGTATTTGTGCCATGGATGGCACACGGGGGTATGGTATACGCGCACGATTTGTTTTGCGTATACATCAATAACTGTGTTTATTTGTGCGCACGCTGTGAAGTTTGTCCGCGCTTCAACAGGACATGACGCTGGCCGGGCCTGTGATCTTGGAGGCATGGACGGCGCTTTGCGCGACGTGAGCGTGCTACTTTTTTCGCAGGCGAGGCGAATCTACCAGGACTTGGGCGACCTCAAGGTGAGCGAGCTTTTCAAATGCGCAAATTCCAGTCAAGGGTCCTTAGGGTTCTTGGGGTGGTTGGCTTGGAGAGGTGGCTGAGCGTTACAACAGGGTGAGTATGCACTCTTCTTATTTAGGGGGGCCTTGTTGTCAGACGCACTTGTGTTGGAGTACTTGTGGGAGCTGGGCATCGGTGTGCTCAGGGAGAAGCCTCGGCGCTGATGATGCTGTCACGCGTGCTGGCCTTAAAAGTGCCAAACCATGTTCAGGGCTGAAAGTTGTGGCTTGGTTGGTAATAATTTCTAGAACATTGCGGCGCAAATCTCCTGAGATCTGAAGGGTTGCCAAAACCTGACATCTCTCTCACAGCTGCCCCCCGCCATTTTCCAGCAGTTGGATTGATGATTAGCTGGTGGGTTTCCAGTCTTCGATCCTGGTGCCATGTACCATTGCAACCTGATATATTGTCATACTGGCACGGATGCCCTTGCCCAGCACGACAACTTTGGAGGTTTTCTCAAGCTAAAGTTTGCTCATGGATGGGCAGCGTTCCAGTGTGTTCAAGTGAACGGGTGACGGGGATTGTGGACATTTATGCACCGCAGTTATCGGGGTGTCCTCACAGGGACCGGACACAGACAGATGTGAAGGGCGCCAGTTGAACACGAGCGTTGTTGCAACCCCGGTGGTGCACCTAGCTGTGGGATTTGGCACTTTTGATGGAAGTGATGGGGGCCTCCTCCCGCTTCACCGCCCGCATAGCATTCTGCACCAAGGAGTCCAGATTCGCCGTGTTCTTTTTTCCCCATGGGTTTGCTTAACGAAAGATTGGGGCCATGGCGGCCATGGAGGACCAAAAGGGACCTCCCCGGACTGGCGCCAGTCGGGGGGCAGGTGCAGCTTGCGCGGGACCCGAAGAAGGCCATGCGGGCCGCGGAGTGGGCGCCAGGGGGCCCAGGGGCCCAGGTGTGGCCAGGTGAAGCGCCGTGCCTTTTTCGTGTTTGGTTCCAATGGATCCAAAAAGAACCCGCCCCCTGGGCTTGGCATCCCAAGCGCCCGGGCCACAAAAGAACATGGTACAATCTGGGAGTTGCTGAGAGGGAAAGTGGAAAATGGAGAGGATGTTCGCGGCTGTGTTCCAGGTCCGAGCTGTATCGCCAAACTGGCGACCAAGTGTCCTGGGCAGATGCTCTCATATTGCTGAGCCAGGCAAGGAGAACGATTGTTGGCTGGAGGTCGCCGGCACGGCATGCACTCCGTCTTTCTGGGAACCAAAACAATGGCTTGCATCAACCGAGAATTGAGAAGGCGCCCTGCGGTAAGGGGCCACCAGAAAGGTTGTGTGTGACATTGCTACTGCAACGGGCCACTGTTCTTGACTAGTACTTGGACAAGTGCAAAGAAAGCGCTGGGTGCACGCCATACTAGAGGCCTTCATTGACTCCTGACAATTCACCTTGCAAACTCGTTTTCGCTTGACTTTCAACTTTCCTTTTTTTTCCTTTTTCATAAATCGAATGCAATTATCCTTTTCTTTAAATGCACTGGATCCTTGACTTCTCTTGCTAGGCAGACTGTGCTGGGACCTTGGAGCCGTTTTCCAGGCGCTCGAGCCAGGCTGCCCTGGCCGGCGTCTCGCAGGGGCACTTTGCCCCAGAGCTGCTGCCTGCCTTGCAGGCAGGGGGTGGCCAGAACCTCCGGCTGCCACTTTGGGGGGCGGAGCTAAGACGTGGTTCCGCTTTTACAAAAACCCACCGGGGATAGATATTCGTGTTGTTCCAGTTCTCTAATTTGACATCCAGAAATGTTTGTTTGCCATTTGCCTGCTTGCTGATTTTGTTGCCAATGGCAATTGTATTTGCCAGCAATGCATGATCGCACGTTTCTGGCCAGCAATTCCAAGCTCCGGCGCAGCATTGACAGCACCCGAAAATATGTTTTCCTCAAGTTGTGTGGTGCGCGAGGAGCGCGGGGTGAATGTTCGTGCTACCTGCCCAAATCCGCATAGACTTGGAAACTTTGTTTTTCTACGGCATCCTTCGGGAAGACCGGCCTGGCAGAACCTAGCAGCACAAACCCGGCAATGATCATAAGATGTCGGCCCGAAAAGATGACGTCCTTTGCGCTTCCATTTTGAAAACCATCCATGTTGTGACAGATACCCAACATAGAACACGAGATCCTGGGACCAACAGTCTCGAAAACATTCTTGGTCGGGAATCATGCACCTCGTTCGTGGCTGCCAACTCCACCAGCCATTGTGGTTATGTGAATTTAATTGAGAACCATCTCCAGAGTGGTCAGTGGACATGAATCCAGACCTAAATGATGTTTACCGAAGGATCTCAACACCACATACGCAGTTACATGGAGCTTTCCCTTGTTTCTTTCCCTTCTTTCCCTTGTTTCTTTCCCTTGAATGGTTCAAGCTCTTCCCTTGTTTCTTTCGTGAGGCTGCCCAGGATGCGTTGGCCATCGCCAAGCACCTGGAGGAGCACCTGTTGGCGGCGTATGCGCACCTGGCCCTGGCGCGGGTCCAGGCCAGAGACATCGCCGGGAGCAGGAAGGGGTTGGCCTGGTGTTATGGCCAGAGACAGTTTAAAGGGTTGGAGTACCTGGGACCCAGACGACACCAGCAAACCTTTTTGGTTTGCAGGAGGAGGCCGCGCATTTTGGGGACAGTTAAAGTGAGAGAGAGAACTGAGGGAGTGCGGACGGGACGGAGGGAGGGGCAAAAGGGAGAAGTTACCTAAGATGTGACATGACCCATCAACTTACTTGAGTTCCCTGTGCAAATCCACAGTTCTATTGGCAGGTGGTGGCACGTCCCCTGTTGAAGGAGGCTTGGCAGAACTCTGTCCAGGCGCGGCTCGTGTGCGGGGTGTGTGGATGTCCTTCTTTTTTTGTTCTTGTTTTTTTTCCGCACACATGCGTGGGTGGGTGGGTGGGTGGGTGGGTGGGTGGGTGGGTGGGTGGGTGGGTGGGTGGGTGGGTGGGTGGGTGGGTGGGTGTGTGTGTGTGTGTGGGTGTGTGCGTGTTCGTGTGCGTGTGCGTGTGCGTGTGCGTGTGCGTGTGCGTGTACGTGTGCGTGTGCGTGTGTGGGTGGGTGGGTAGGTGGGTGTGCCAGGCCTGCGAGTTGTTCAGCCTGGCGAGTTCCGCTAGCGGCCTGGGGTGTGGCCTGGAAGTGCCGGGTGCCCAGGACATGAGTTCGCGACTGCTGATGGTTGAAGATAGATTCAGCATGACTGATTCTCTTACGAAAAGTTTGAATTAGTCTTAAAGTTAAAAGTTCAGTGGTTAGGATTGCTGTATACTTGGCCAACCGTTCTATCTTGTTTAGTTCCGTTTCGCAACCAGGAACAGCAACGCATGCAGCAACTCGTCAACGCATCATGCCTTCAGATGGACTGGGACGATCCCGATCAATGTCCAAAAATCGGAAAGGCAGAGCATGAGTGATGTTTTGCTTGCGGAGCGTTCGAGCTCAAGATCCTGGATCGCTTGTGGCCAGTCTCCCACGTCTTTTGGCTGCCATGGCCATTCTGCAGGAGGTGACTCAGGTGACTCAGGTGACTCAGGTGACTCAGGTGACTGAGGACAGAGGTTGAAGTGACCTTTCCGGAGTTTAAACATGTTTGAACTTTCTTCCTTCGGTGCCTTTCAACTATAAGAGCACCCCTCCCAACTGACTGAGCCTCATGTGGAGCGGAGACGCGTTCACGCCCAGGACTCCCGGAAGTTCTTGAGCTCCGAGCCGGCCGCGGCTGGCGGAGCGCGTCCCTCCGCCAAGCAGCGCTACGTCCCGGAAGAGGACCAGGGGCAGGGCTCTGAGGGTTGTTGGATCTTATGAGGGTTCTTTGACCGAGGCAACCATCCAGGAGCGCCAGGCAAAAAGTTGAAGCAAGTTCTGATGGCTTCGATCGCTTCTCCGAGCCCCCCAGGATGAATACGAGGTCCAGACGGCGCTCGTGCTGGTCCCCAGTCCTTTGGAGGACATCCTCCGAGCCAAAAGGCGCCAGCTGTTGGCGCTGCGGGGCCGCATCAAACGCGGCGGCGAATTCGACACGCAGTAGCCAGGCAGATCCAAGCGGAGGTGGAGGAGTCTCCCGACTGCGGGGGGGGGGGGGGGACAGCAAGTCCTTGTTGTTGGCATTGTTGGACCTTGTTTGGACCCTCCTTTTTTCTTTTGTGTGTGTGTTTTGTTCCATTAGGAGGAACGTGTCCTTTTTGCCTGAAGCCTTTGGGGCGCCTCAGGCTTCAAAGAAGCCTCCACAAGATGCATGATGTGCCCTCCCGCATGAGCGAGACGAAGCCGGATGCAAACGCCGACACGGGCTCGACCAAGACCTGCGACGTGTCCTGCTCCACGAGTGAGTGGAAGACCAAGGCTTCGAGTGCTAGGCGAAACAAGCAGAAGTTTGGATGCTTGGCCAAGTTGGGAATGCTCGCTTGGGAGCTTTGCGGAGGCTCCTAGGCGCCCTCCTGAAGAAAGCTCGAATTCGCTGAGGCTCTCCTTGAGACAGCCGAGGCAGCTGCATGCAGAGGGTTGCGGCTCAGATTTGGAGATGCCGGCAAGTTGGAGTTGGCCATTGTTCCATTGCCCGTTTGTACAAACAGGTTTGCTTTGCTACTATTTACTGTAGCTGCCGTGACTTGTGGCGTGTTTGCGGGGGCCTCCCCACTGAAACCCTCGTCCTTGTCTCTAGACAAAAAACCATCGCATGGCCGTGCTTGCCGATTCTGAGCTAGAGCCAGCGTTAATGCATTTGAGCCGTGGCTCGTGCCCGGCGACCGTCAGCTGGGTTCGCGACTGAGCAAGCCAGGGAGCGGACCCTGCTGATGGTTCAAGATATAGATTCAACATGACTGATTATCTTTCGAAAAGTCGCTGGGCCTGCTGTGCTCCAAGTTGGGAACTTGGGGGTTAGGATTGCAGCATTCTTGGCCAACCCTATCTCGTTTAGTTCCGTTTCGCAAACGGGCACAGCAACGCATGCAGCAACTCGTCAACGCATCATGCCTTCAGACGGACTGGGACGATCCCGATCAATGTCCAAAAATCGGAAAGGCAGAGCATGAGTGATGTTTTGCTTGCGAAGCGTTCGAGCTCAAGATCCTGGATCGCTAGTGGCCAGTCTCCCACGTCTTTTGGCTGCCATGGCCATTCTGCAGGAGGTGACTCAGGTGACTCAGGTGACCAGGTGACCCCAGTTTAAACATGTTTGAACTTTCTTCCTTCGAACTATAAGAGCACCCGAACTGGTCCGGAGACGCGTTCACGCTCCCGTGAGCTCCGAGCCGGCCGCGGCTCCCGTCAAGCAGCGCTCGTCCCGGAAGAGGACCAGGGGCAGGGCTCTTGTTGGAGGACCGATCCAGGAGCACCAGGCAAAAAGTTGAAGCAAGTTCTGATGGCTTCGATCGCTTCTCCGAGCCCCCCAGGATGAATACGAGGTCCAGACGGCGCTCGTGCTGGTCCCCAGTCCTTTGGAGGACATGTGTGGCGCTGCGGGGCCGCATCAAACGCGGCGGCGAATTCGACACGCTCAACCATTACGAGGCAGTAGCCAGGGAGATCCAAGCGGAGGTGGAGGAGTCTCCCGACTGCGGGGGGGGGGAGCAGCAAGTCCTTGTTGTTGGCATTGTTGGACCTTGTTTGGACCCTCCTTTTTTTCTTTTGTGTGTGTTTATTTGTTCCATTAGGAGGAATGTGTCCTTTTTGCCTGAAGCCTTTGGGGCGCCTCAGGCTTCAAAGAAGCCTCCACAAGATGCATGATGTGCCCTCCCGCATGAGCGAGACGAAGCCGGATGCAAACGCCGACACGGGCTCGACCAAGACCTGCGACGTGTCCTGCTCCACGAGTGAGTGGAAGACCAAGGCTTCGAGTGCTAGGCGAAACAAGCAGAAGTTTGGATGCTTGGCCAAGTTGGGAATGCTCGCTTGGGAGCTTTGCGGAGGCTCCTAGGCGCCCTCCTGAAGAAAGCTCGAATTCGCTGAGGCTCTCCTTGAGACAGCCGAGGCAGCTGCATGCAGAGGGTTGCGGCTCAGATTTGGAGATGCCGGCAAGTTGGAGTTGGCCATTGTTCCATTGCCCGTTTGTACAAACAGCTTTTTTGCTTTGCTACTATTTACTGTAGCTGCCGTGACTTGTGGCGTGTTTGCGGGGGCCTCCCCACTGAAACCCTCGTCCTTGTCTCTAGACAAAAAACCATCGCATGGCCGTGCTTGCCGATTCTGAGCTAGAGCCAGCGTTAATGCATTTGAGCCGTGGCTCGTGCCCGGCGACCGTCAGCTGGGTTCGCGACTGAGCAAGCCAGGGAGCGGACCCTGCTGATGGTTCAAGATATAGATTCAACATGACTGATTATCTTTCGAAAAGTCGCTGGGCCTGCTGTGCTCCAAGTTGGGAACTTGGGGGTTAGGATTGCAGCATTCTTGGCCAACCGTATCTCGTTTAGTTCCGTTTCGCAAACAGGCACAGCAACGCATGCAGCAACTCGTCAACGCATCATGCCTTCAGATGGACTGGGACGATCCCGATCAATGTCCAAAAATCGTAAAGGCAGAGCATGAGTGATGTTTTGCTTGCGGAGCGTTCGAGCTCAAGATCCTGGATCGCTTGTGGCCAGTCTCCCACGTCTTTTGGCTGCCATGGCCATTCTGCAGGAGGTGACTCAGGTGACTCAGGTGACTCAGGTGACTGAGGACAGAGGTTGAAGTGACCTTTCCGGAGTTTAAACATGTTTGAACTTTCTTCCTTCGGTGCCTTTCTTTCAACTATAAGAGCACCCGTCCCAACTGACTGAGCCTCATGTGGAGCGGAGACGCGTTCACGCCCAGGACTCCCGGAAGTTCTTGAGCTCCGAGCCGGCCGCGGCTGGCGGAGCGCGTCCCTCCGTCAAGCAGCGCTACGTCCCGGAAGAGGACCAGGGGCAGGGCTCTGAGGGTTGTTGGATCTTATGAGGGTTCTTTGACCGAGGCAACCATCCAGGAGCACCAGGCAAAAAGTTGAAGCAAGTTCTGATGGCTTCGATCGCTTCTCCGAGCCCCCCAGGATGAATACGAGGTCCAGACGGCGCTCGTGCTGGTCCCCAGTCCTTTGGAGGACATCCTCCGAGCCAAAAGGCGCCAGCTGTTGGCGCTGCAGGGCCGCATCAAACGCGGCGGCGAATTCGACACGCTCAACCATTACGAGGCAGTAGCCAGGGAGATCCAAGCGGAGGTGGAGGAGTCTCCCGACTGCGGGGGGGGGGGAGCAGCAAGTCCTTGTTGTTGGCATTGTTGGACCTTGTTTGGACCCTCTGTTTTTCTTTTGTGTGTGTGTTTTGTTCCATTAGGAGGAGGGCGTGTCCTTTTTGCCTGAAGCCTTTGGGGCGCCTCAGGCTTCAAAGAAGCCTCCACAAGATGCATGATGTGCCCTCCCGCATGAGCGAGACGAAGCCGGGTGCAAACGCCGACACGGGCTCGACCAAGACCTGCGACGTGTCCTGCTCCACGAGTGAGTGGAAGACCAAGGCTTCGAGTGCTAGGCGAAACAAGCAGAAGTTTGGATGCTTGGCCAAGTTGGGAATGCTCGCTTGGGAGCTTTGCGGAGGCTCCTAGGCGCCCTCCTGAAGAAAGCTCGAATTCGCTGAGGCTCTCCTTGAGACAGCCGAGGCAGCTGCATGCAGAGGGTTGCGGCTCAGATTTGGAGATGCCGGCAAGTTGGAGTTGGCCATTGTTCCATTGCCCGTTTGTACAAACAGCTTTTTGTTTTGCTACTATTTACTGTAGCTGCCGTGACTTGTGGCGTGTTTGCGGGGGCCTCCCCACTGAAACCCTCGTCCTTGTCTCTAGACAAAAAACCATCGCATGGCCGTGCTTGCCGATTCTGAGCTAGAGCCAGCGTTAATGCATTTGAGCCGTGGCTCGTGCCCGGCGACCGTCAGCTGGGTTCGCGACTGAGCAAGCCAGGGAGCGGACCCTGCTGATGGTTCAAGATATAGATTCAACATGACTGATTATCTTTCGAAAAGTCGCTGGGCCTGCTGTGCTCCAAGTTGGGAACTTGGGGGTTAGGATTGCAGCATTCTTGGCCAACCCTATCTCGTTTAGTTCCGTTTCGCAAACGGGCACAGCAACGCATGCAGCAACTCGTCAACGCATCATGCCTTCAGATGGACTGGGACGATCCCGATCAATGTCCAAA